TATTAGAGAACATGAAAAATTATTCTTTTTTGAGGATAGTGCATTATTAGCACCCACAATCGAATTTGTTAAATGACAAATGAATTTGTCATATCCCTTATTCTAAGAGGTAAAAAAGAGTACTTACGTTCTCATTCTTCATGCCAAACATATTTAGATGTAGTTGTTGAAGACGATTAGATAACAGTTCAATTCTTCTTAATGAAATCAAATGTTAGGGGATTCAAACCATAAAATAGTTTTTAAAAGGGGGTACCGATTATGTTATTGAAGAACATTGACCAAATATATGGATTGTGTATTGGTAAAAGATTAATCATTAAAGAGATGTGAAAGAACATTATCAATGTAATTGATGTTTCGAGAAATCGCGTTGGAGAAAAAGGTTTACATACCCTGAATAAAATTTGGTATCATCTGATAGAATTCTCAATATAATAGTCTTATGTTTTGCTATGACTATAAACAAAAGTCAATGTCAAACATTGTCCTTTGCTATATTATTTTTAACTAATTCGGGATTTACTCATGGTTAGCTTTATGTTACTGTTTCACGAGTAAAGAAAAAGACATGATTAAAAATATTGGTTCTAGATGAAAATAAAAACGCTTACAACGATACAAAAAATGTTGTGTACACTAAAGTCTTTCAAAAAATTTGGAATTAAAAAAGATTTTTTCGAGTACACTTTCAATTTCTCAAATATTATATTCTACTGTCATTGTTTTCCATTGATTAAAATTTGTGATAGAAATATATTTACTTGATTTTGGAATAAATACTTCATTGAAAAATTTCAAAATCGACAACAGTTTCGTTCGACCCCGTGCATCGCACGGGTCAAAATACTAGTTAAGAGTAATGCTAGAGTCACAAACTACTGGGACACAAATTACACAAACTTGCTATTTTTGTATTTTTCCAATTGAATAAAGTGATATTAAATGCTTACAAAATGAAAATTGAGATACATAAATAGCAAGTTTGTGTAATTTGTGTCCCATTAGTTTGTGACTCTAGCATTACTCAAATATTAATAGTCAAGCATCTTACTTGAAAAACGAACCACAGTTAAAATAGAACGATTATAGGGAGAGGCAGCAGCGCAGCTAGAAACCCTAGTCCCAATCTTCCGACCCGGGGCCTGCCTAATAGGGAGACAATTATTTTTTAATATTATATGTATTTATATAAGAAGCCCAGCACCCAGCCCAATATGTAAAAGCCCATCTCATTAGCCGCCCAATCCCTTCCTGCTTCGCAGACAACTAACGCGAGGCGCAGAAGAAGCTGGAGACGAAGCCTACTGCCGAAACCCAATCGGAAAGAGAGTGCCGACTGCTGAGAACGCCGCCGGTAGAGGGACGCCGCTGCAGCCTCCAGGTATTCCGTTATTATTTTTTTTCTAATTTTCTTTCTTTCATTGTTTCATTCTTTGGATTTAAAATCTAGGGTTAATTATTAATTTTTAGTTTGAAATATTTTTTAATTTATATGATATATGAATGAATTAATGGTTCCATATATTCTTTATTTGATTTGGATGAATTGATTTCAATTTATGATATGTATAAAAAAACTGAAAACTGAAAAACTAAAAAAACTGAAAAATTGATAAATTGACATGAATTTAAGATATATATAAAAAAGAATGAAAACTGAAAAAGAAAAAAACTGAAAAAATGGCGAATTGAATCAATTGATATGAGTTTATGATATATGAATTTATTTGCTTGCTTTTCCATATTTGATTTTACTAAGTAGTAAAATTTATGAATTTGAATTTTATTTCAGAAATAATTCAATAGCTATAGGTTCTAAACATCTATCCGGTAGTCAACAACAACAACAACAACCCAGTTAAATTCCACAAGAGTAGGGTCTGGGAGGGTGTGTGTACGCAGACCTTGCCCCTACTCGAAAGTAGAGAGGCTGTTTCCAAAGAGACCCCCGGCTCAACGTCGAAAGTTGCATTGCTTGACTAACTGCTACTTGATTAATTAAAGAAGCGCAGACGGTTTAGAGATCCATTTTGATTTATTCCATCACACCCCAAAGTCAAAAACGTAAAAAGAGAAAACGAGATGAAGAATGAAAAAGTATCAAGTCGGATAAGAAACACTTTGGTCATTTATTTATTTTCTTCTAATAATATTACTTTCTAATAATATTACTTAATTATCATTTATATATAATTAGTTTACATATTTTAATTTGCTAGACTTTATATTTAGGGCCTTTTTTATCTCGGCCCAAGCTATTGAATTCTCAGGACCGACCCTGTTCCGACCGTCGCCGGTGACGCGGTGTCTTCCTACCGACGCACCACACTCCGCCACTCCTAACTTTGTATGTTTTTTTTGCCGTACTACCATATTCAAACTGTCCAAAATGATTTTTTTTGTGGTAGACTCCGAATGAGAGAGCTTTGTCATTGCGCAAATATGTTGGGGAAAGAGCATATTTTATTTTGTTTTACTGTAAATTTCTATTTTTTGTGATTAAAAACTGAGTTTATGTCTTCCTAATAATTGATTTTACTTCACATAGATCCCAAATATCATAATTGAATGCAATTATGTTTGTTAGTTTTTACTGATTTTCTCCAAACATAAAAAATCCACTCAGAGTTCAATCCAACTCTCTCACTATTTGTATCCAGCCTGTAATACAGTTCAAATCTTGAAAGGAAGTGATATTCCAATCACCTGTAGAGAATGCCTATGGATATGGATGTTGAAAAAGCAGCAAAGCGGATACAGGTGCGGTTCGTAACGAAGCTGCAGCCTCCATTCAAGGTCCCTCCTACTGCCATAGCCATTCCATCAGACCTCACCCGTTTTGGTCTCTCTACCATTGTCAACAACCTTCTTAAATCTGGTAATCAAACTCATTTTGTGATTTATTGTTACTCATTTTGTAATCTTTGGGCAACAATTGTACTCGGGTTTGCATGTTTCTCTTTTGTGCATGATATTCTTCTAGGGAAACATTATTTTTCTACAATTTTGCTATTAGGTCACACTTTTTCTTCAATTCACCCTTTATACCTAAGTTTGCTGTTTTGCCATCAGGAAATGATGATTGGAAATCCGAGCCTTTCGATTTTATCATTGGTGGAGAATTCATTAGGATGTCACTCGAAGAGTTCCTCCTTGCAAAGAACATTTCTGCCGTGAGTTTGTCCTTATAAACAGTTTCACCTGCCTATGTTTGCTATCTTCATTAAAACAACATGCTTTCAAGTGGCTTGAAATATTTTTGCCCATGACATTGACAACACTCTAGATGCTGTTTTGAACATATTTTAATCTCAATAGGTTATCACATCTATGCAAAGATTTCCTCGGTATTCATGCTATTGTTTTTAATTTTAGGAAAAAATATTAGATATTGAATACATTAAGGCCGTGGCCCCAAGGAAAGAAGAAGAACCTTCTTTGCATGATGATTGGGTTAGTGCTGTTGATGGCTCAAATCCCAAGTAAGAAGCATCAACCCCCTTTATTATTTTCCTAGATGCTGAAAAGGACTCTTCTGACTAGTAAATATGTGTCTTGTCTTGTATACTTATGTTATAAAATTTGTTCTCTATTGACTCAACATGATCTCATTGGTGTTTTTTTTTCACGGAAAATTATCCAATTTATAGTTATTTGAAATGTCTTTTTGGTCTAAAACCCTTATCCAGTATCGTATGTTCATGATGTCAGGTTCATTCTAACGGGATGTTATGACGGTCTGGGAAGGTAATGCTGTAAGGACTTTTTAGGGCGGTAGTTTTTGCAACTTGCATTCTGTTTTTTAAATTGTATTTGTAGCACTTTTGGCAATTAGTTCTTGACAAGATAGATGTGATTGTTAACCATTTCCAGGTTATGGAAAGCTGCTGGATCTTGTAGTCATATATTGGAAGGGCATACTGGTGCAGTGATGGCTGTTTGTGTTGTCAAGCCCAAAGGTACCACTTCCTTGTACTATGGATCATGTTTGCCGTGCACCAAGTTTACACCACCCCATTTTTTGCACTTCAAGACAAAACCTGTGTCTTAGGCAAAACCTGTGTTGTATAGACAAGTATTGGTTGTTCCATAGACGAGTTATGTCCGTGAAGTGGTAAAAAGTGGGTGGTGTAAACTTAGTGTACAAGTAGTTTCAATCCATTATTTATTGCAACACTCATGCTCCATTTGAATACATGGAGTAAGAAAGAAAAAAGTATGAGAGAAGAAAAAATGAGTGGATTAACAAAGTGTTTAGAATTTGGATTGACAGAAAGAGGTGGAGAAGAGAAAGAAAAGTTAATGGGCCATTTATTTATTGGAAGAGTCATGTTTTCTAGATAAATCAGAAAACAATAAACACTTGTTTAATTTTATGTAATCAGAATTTAGAAAACAGAAAACATTTTTACTTCACCAATAATCAAATTTAGAAAATAAAACTGTTCTCCATTTTTTAGTTTTATCATAAAACTAAAAAATGTTATATGAAATTGCTATATGAAACAATCATTCAAGCAATTAAAATGAAAATGATTCAATTTATATCTCAAAAAATGAAGAATACCCAAAGAACCCTAATTCTGCATTTTAAAAAATAAAAATTGCCAAAACGACATCATTTTGATATGAAGGAAAAAATTTCCAGCAGTTCTTATGCTCCATTGGCCTCTATTCTGTGTTTAATAAAATTATCACCAATACTCCTATACGTGGAAATGCGCCAACTGTAAAAATGTTTTAATTTTCTAATGTGCTCCTGCTAGGTGTCCTTGTCTCTTTCCATTTGTTCTTTTCCTGATATCTTAATAATATTTCTCTTAACAGGAGCTGTAGATGGCACTGATGAACTGGTGGCAACCGCTTCAAAAGACAGAACTGTGAGATTTTGGAAGGTAATAAAATGCATGTGTTCTTTAAAATACGTAATGATGTTTTATGCCTGTTAAAGTGCTAATCTTTTGACATGTTCATGCTTTAAAGGTTGATGCAGAGGATTTCTTGGAACAACCAAAGAGGATTAGATCCTGTAAGGTGTTACGCGGGCATAATGCTTCTGTCCAGACCATATCAGCTGATCCCTCTGGGGAAATGGTTTGTCTATTCCTTTTATGTTTATTGGTTTTTTATCCTTATAATTTGTATGTGAAATTCCAATCATTTCTTTGTTGAACCTCTTTTGACAAACCATGTTTTCCAGTTGTGTTCAGGTTCTTGGGACTGCATGATAAATTTGTGGCAGGCAAATGATTTGAATGCATCTGGTGATACAGTAACCTTTAAGAAAAGAAAAAAAGGTGGTAAAGAAAATGATGCTCAAACAGAGGTGAGTCCAGGGTTCTACTCTTTGTTTTTATAAATACGATTATGATCTGCCCCAAGATTCTCCATAGCAAGAAAAGGAACCCTTTCATAGACTAGTGTATACATCATGGTATATCCATTAAACTCCTCACAAACAACTGGAAATATGCTGTCTCTATACTGTTCCAATTCTACTTATTCCTAAGCCAGATCAGATATGCGTGGGTTTTAAATCTATATTTGTATTTGAAACAGGGGGAGGCAGTATCTACACTCGTTGGTCACACACAAAGCATATCCTCTGTGGTGTGGCCACAAAATGAAACGATATATTCAGCATCTTGGGACCGTTCTATTAGAAGGTGGGATGTTGAGACAGGCAAAGATACTCTGAACATGGTGAGTGGAGTGACATGAATGATTTATGCAAATAACATAAGTGTTCTTTTGTTCCACACCAGCGAATACCAAGCATTCTCTTTTGTTTCACATAACAAGCTCACATTTCTAACTATGGTTTATACCATAATGATTATTCAATGATACTTCCAATTATTTTAACTAGGAATGAGAATTTAAATCTGCCTCTTGGGTATCCTCTCACACCCTATTCCACATTAGTCAGATTTGGGCAGGTCACTCGTAGTAGGTGATGAGTGGAATTTTTTGTTTTACAATTGCACACATAGCTTTGACTCACCTCAAACTTTATATGGAGTAAATAATTTTATTTGTTGAGTTGAGTGTATGCATGTGTAATTGTGTATGCATGTGTACACTTAACTAGTGGGTATGTGGTTACAGTGTTACACTACTCATTAGTGTAAACCCGTGGTTACTTTTAGTACTAATTTAATAATACTCCATACTATATTAATTTCTAGTAATGAAACTTGTAGCTTTCCCATGCAAATTACTATTGCAGATTCTAGTATAATTGATTATAAATGATAGTAATCGTGTTCTACTCTTGCAGTCTTTTGGGAGAGCCTTTAACTGCCTTCATGTTGGAGGCGAAAGTTCGGCCCTTATTGCTGCCGGATGCTCTGATCCTGTATTAAGGATATGGGATCCTCGGAAACCAGGTGTCTAGTAAAGCTTAAACCATCTCCCTAATCCCTAAACAATCTGCCACACACTTCACACTTATTTGAATGAAAAAGCATATTGGTTTGGTGCATTCCCGAAAATTTAAGAACATAAATAGGAGGAAATAGCCTCTGTATGTTAATGTAGGGGTGTCTTGAAAACACCCTCTAATAATCACGCACAGACACCCCTAGAGCCCACTTTGTGGGATTCTACTCTGTTGTATACATAGAAAAAGAGTGGGAAAGTGGTTAGGAAATGCTAGTAATTTATTTTATTAGAAAAATGGGTTCAAACTCATTAAAAACATTGTTTTCCTTGGCATATTTTCCCCTTCCCTTCCATTTTCCAGGTTCCAAACATAGCCTCACGGAATAAGTTTTTGAATATATTTCGTAATATACATTTCCTTTTTTTGGACCAGATTCGTCCGCCCCTATCTTCCAGTTCTCATCACACAGTTCCTGGATCTCTGCCTGCAAATGGCATGATAAATCCTTGTTTCACTTGGCCTCTGCATCGTATGACGGAAAAGTTATGTTATGGGATTTGAGAACAGCGGTAAAAAAATCACGTTTCCCTCTTCAGTAATTTTCTATCTTATCTCCAATCGTTTGAGAGCTCACAATTCTTCATACCACTTTCTATATTGCAGTGGCCACTAACTGTCATTGACTCCCACAAGGACAAGGTACTTCTCGCTCCTATTGTTAAGATTATGTTTGGGAATAAAGCTAGGGTAACCTCACATTTTTGACCTAAGCATGGCGTAAAAAATGTGGGGTTATCCTAGCACAACCCGGGATCCCAAAGAATGTCAGCGGAAGTTAATAAAATTAAAAAAAATCAAGGAAACCTATTCTCTTGTGTTTGACCCAACATTGTTCTCATATCAATGATCCATGTACATTGTTTATTTTTTTCTCTCTTAAATTTAACCTGCCACAGGTATTATGTGCTGACTGGTGGAGGGGGGATAGCATTATAAGTGGCGGAGCGGACGCGAAGCTCTGCATATCTTCAGAACTTTCAGTGCGGCAGTGACCGAGTATGCTGTGAAATTCTGCAGAGAACTATTTATCGCCTTTTTGTCTCTCTTCCAGGTGACAATGGTAAGGCGCTTCATCCGCTTAACTCTTTTCATCGAACACGCGCAGAAGAACCCTTAGTTTATGTTGTGTTTTTCTCCATTTTTTTCTTTTCAAAATCGAAATTCATATCGGCCAAATGGTCTAAAACATGAATGGAGATAATTTTGGTTATNCATTTGGCAGAGAATCTGAGGCCTGAGGGTGTGAACAATTCAACATAATTGTGCCATTTATTGTTATAATTGCATTATCTTTTCATACTTTCTCGACATAATGACACCCAACGAGCCAATACCTTACATCTCACAAAATCTCACAAATTCTTGTTTGCCACTCAAATTGTTTTTATCAAAATTCTTAATTTGAGTTGTCCATTCAAAATACCATGGAGTATAATTGTTCTAATCAAAATTCTTAATTTGAGTAATCCTCATTTTACTCAACACAAAACTAAGAAGTTCCATTACAAGTAGTTTAACACCAAATTAGGTTAAGTAAAAAGAAAATTATCATCGCCCAAAACAAGTTTAAATATTTTTTTAAAAAAAGAATGAATTAAGAGATGAGAGATTTAGAAATTTAGACATGAAAAGATTGAAAAAGTTGGTTTATATTTTTGAATGCTCCCTCTTTCTAAGAATATTTAATCAGATTGAAAAGGTTTGAATTGAACTAAGTAATAATTTGAAAATATTTTACAAGATAAATTTAATAAGATTATTTGTGTATTACTATGTAATATTCAATACAAATTTTATTTAATTAATGGCTTATGTTTATCAATTCTGATTCTAAAGGGTCAAAATTAATAAAGATATTATTAGACGGAAGTTGTAGTTGTTTGATAGAGAACTTACCCAAATATCACTAAAACATAGTTATTTTATCAATGTACCACCATATGTTTTTATTTCTCAACGTAGTATCGTTGTTTTATGTCCAATGGTCATTGTTTTAATAATTGTCTACCGCAACTAGACATTGTTCAAACTAAATAACTAACATTACTGGATATTTTTCCTGCCACAAGATATTATTTAAGTATTATTTTGAGAATAAAAGAGTTTAAGTACTACATTGGAAAATACATACATTTTAGAACTATTTAGTGCAAATTTCATTTGTTTGATTAGTCATTTGCATATAAAGATTTTTTAAACTAAAAAAGCTATCCGACAGGTTTGACGTTAAGCACCCTATTATACTCCGTATTTTAGTTATCATACGTGGAAATACTTGTATGGTTTTTTGCATAAATATTTGGGAAAAATATCTAAATAATCTGTTTCAAAGTGATCTTCTAAAAATAATGTCACCTTTTATTATTATGTGTAAGAATTAACCTAGGGGTACACCAACATGGGTATCCCATTTGTACACCAAGCCAACACAGGCACACACAGACACAAAATGTCGGTGATGCACAGACATTTTGTGTCTGTGTGTGCCTGTGTTGGCTTGGTGTACAAATCTCATATTTTATCTAATTAATATACAATATACTTCGCATATTTTATTTTTTATAAATCAAAAGTTGAAAAACAGTTGACTAAAAAAGTTAAAACGGGACACAAATAGTGTAGGGCGGAGGGATTAGTTTCACTTGAGGAAATGACTGGAGCGGAAGCTATAATAAATTCTCGTGTATTCTGTATTTTAATCAACATATACTCCGTATCTGAGATACTGTATAAAGGCTTTGAGCCTGTTTGGGAATAGCGTTAGAGATTAGCATTAGCGTTTTGGATAAAAGTTTAATGGTTCAGATTACTTTGAAAACGCTAACGTTAAACGTTGGTCGTAGATAGCCTTTTCAAAACGCTAACGCTAATTGCTAAAGCTTTTACCAAACATGCCCTTTAGATGTATAGTGATTTTTTTTTTAAAAAAAAGCCACGAGAATTAGAATCTGAGGTCGTCAGGATCTATCATTCATAGGTCAAAATCTCTATCCATTGCGTAATGTCCCTTTAGATCGATCTGCATGAAAATGAAATCCTCACTTATAACATCTCAAATCGAGTTGACAAAGAGATCCGTTTGGTCAAATTTATTAAAATTGATTATTATATGTATAAAAAAACCCAGTGTTCCCATGATATTGAGAATCAGTATCATGGGATGACCTGGAGTACTTCAGTCTTTCCTTAAACCTCCACCCCGCCCCGTCCCGAACACACCCCTCCATTCCGTTCAATTGCGCCTTCAAGTTAATTTAAATTTTGAGTTTATTGGGGGGGGTTGGTAGGGGTAGGAACCGTCGATTTTACGAACGGGGCATCGGAGTCCTCATAAAAAAATCATTTGTCATACATGTCATTTTTCTTTTTTACCGATCGTATATGCCATTAACTTTTGTCAAAAGTCAATTGTTTTCAACTGCCTTTCAACTGATTTTTTCAATTGAACTAAGGCCCCGTTTGGTACATGGAATTTAAACTATGGAATTGGAATTGAGGACTTCAATTCCAATTCTGGTGTTTGGTAGCACAAAAATTATGTAGATTTGGAATTGATAGTGCAAAAAATGAATTGGATTGGTAGAATTCAATTCTATGAAATTGAATCATATGGAATCTCAATTTCAATTCAATTCCAATTCCATCAATTCCGTATACCAAACGGACCCTAAATTTATTTGAACGGATAATTAAGTGTAATTTTGATCCAAATGTCAAACATAACACAAAATAAATTGAAAGAACATACTCTAATGATAACAATTGGTACGGCCTAGGGTCTCTAAAATGTAGTTTGTCTTAGTCATTAGTCCATCAAAACCAATAACTCATAAACTATAAAAACAATTAGACATTAGTTCATTCTTTCTAGAGTAAATTCTATAAGAGCCCGGTTCCATGGCCACTGGATTCCAGTGGCCACGGAAGTCAATGCTGCCCTACGGAGTTCCGTTCATAAAATTGATGAATTCTACCCCCGGTAAACCCCCCCGCCAAGTCCCGAACCAAACTAATCACCTCATCTACGTCAATTGTACCTCGTAAGTATAAAAATGGAGATATTAATGGTCAAAGTGTCGCATTAGAGATCGTGAAAAGTCAAATGAGAAATTAATTTTAGGACCGAGGGAGTATTATTTTCTTGTTATATAAGCTAAGTGCCCCTATTTAACTTTCATTCAACACTCCGAATAGGCTAGAAACGGAACTGCTAATAGTATGCCCGATTGCGTCCCAAGTATACAAACCAAAACATTAAGGGCCTATTTGGTAAGCACATTAAATATGGTTATGATATTTTTCGATATCAAAATCTATTATGTTTTTGGCGTTTGGTAAAACATAAAAAGTATTGAGTTTTGATATTTTTAAATATTACAAACTCTGGAAATGAAGAGTTTCATTATCTTCCAAATTTGTAAAGTGAGAGATATCGATATGGAAATTTTTTATTTTTAGCAACTGTCGACCATCCATCGCTATTGGCTATCATTGTCACTACCAACCAGCCATGTTGCCTTCTACCCCCACGTTTCACTAATTAATTCAGGATTTTGAATATCTTCAAACAATTTTATTTATTATTTTAGAGCTCATATCATTTTTTTCAGATTTCAAAATTAATATTATATATCAAGCCTCCAAAATCACTGAGAGGGCCTGAATGGCTGAATTCATCTTTAAAATAAAATTAAATAGCCTTTCCATTTTTAATTAAATATTCCCTCCGTCCCATGAAACATGAGATGTTTTGCTTTTTAAAGAGATTTAAGACAATGTATTTTGGTATTGAATTTCTAAAAATGTCCTTTGATGTGATGGGTAAAAGTAGGATTTGATGGGTAGATTATTTGTAAAAAGGTATGATGTGATATATATGGTATGAAAAAGTAAGGGGTAAAAGTGACTTTTTAATAGAAATCAGAAGTGTTTTATGGGACGGATGAAAAAAGAAAGGAGAAAGGTTTTATGGGACGGCGGGAGTATTATGATTGTCTTTAATGCATAAAAAAGTAATGAATAGATACATTATACTCCCTCCGTCTCAAAAAGAATTTCTTATTTTGATTAACGTGCAAAATCCCATAGATTTGAAAATGATTTTATTTACAAATTGGTAAGGAAATAACACATAAAAAAATTATATTCAAAAACTACATCGAAGACTCTACAAAATAAGAGGTGACAAGAATATTTTATTTTATCAAATGATCAATGAAAACACGCAAACAAACAAGAGTTATCAGTAGGCCGTAATAGTAAACAGGAAAGACTTTTTGGGACGGAGGAAATATATGTGTGTATCACAAAAATCATAATAATTGATACTAAAAAAAGAATAATATAATTACGAGTAAATAATACCTCACTAATACTAAACACTTCGTACTTTCGTTGATACAAATGCATGGATTTTGTACTTTAAAGTACACCCTATTTGGACACTACTCATGTTTCTTAATTCAACACTAATCAAGCTAGTTTAATGATAACCCTACTATAGAACTAGAGATCGATCGGGCAAGTCATGATTAACGGCTTGATTGCTTTGCCAAAATTCATTATATTGCAAATTTGCCAAAATTGGAAACATTTGTAGACAGGGGCGGACCCAGGATTTTTTACCATGTGGTCGATCATATATTTAAAAATGTGAGAATATATTTCATTTGTTGGGTCATAAGTAAAATAAGATTCATATTAGATAATATTATCAAAAATAATTTTATGGTATCTACATGTAATATACTTTTCTTAAACTGACGTTCAGAGTTTACTATAAATTTTTAAATGTGATGGATGAATCATTTAAAAGTGAAAGATGTACCATAAGAATTTATTTTGAAAAAAATGAGAAATAATATCAACTATATACTCCCTCCGTTCTCAAAAAGAGTTCCTACTTTGAAAAAGTGGAAAAATAAGGAAGTGTTAAATTGTAGTTGACTTCCAATTTTGCCATTGATGTGATGGGTAAAAGTAAGATGTGATGAATAGATTATTAGAGAAAAAGTATGATGTGTTGGGTAGGGTATGAAAAAGTAAGGGTAAAAGTGGTTTTTTAATAGAAAGTGGAAGTGTTTTATTGAAAGTGAAAAAAATGAAAGAAGAAGTGTTTTTGAGAACGGAGGGAGTAAAGTTTATGAATTTTTTCGATAGAAGAGAATAGACAAATAACAAACAGGTATGTTGATTTATAGTTTAATACGAAAGGAGATACAAAATTTTTGAAGTACTTAGGAAAATCGAAATACTCCACAAATATAAATTTTACGTAGATTTTCAAATGACATGGATAAAATATAAAAAAGTTAAAGTTCTATTTAGTAGAAAATAAAGATAATTAATACGGAGTATCACTCGTATGTGTTTTTCTAAAAATGAGTAACATTTTAAATTTATAAGTTTATTTCAACATAAAAATAATAAAACAATAGAACAAACAAGAGGTCCAAAGTACAAAACTATTCACAAAAAATTGTTTCCAATATAGCTAGATTTTCAAATGACATGGATAAAACATTAAAAAGTTAAAGTTCTATTTATTAGTAGAAAATAAAGATAATTAATACGGAGAATCACTCATTTTTTTTCTAAAAATGAGTAACGTTTTAAATTTATAAGTTTATTTTAACATAAAAATAATTAAACAATAAAACAAACAAGAGGTCTAACCTAGTCATAAAATTTAGTCTAAGCCCATGTGGGCACGGGGACTCGAATTAGAGGCATGAAGGCATTGACGTATGCAACCATTAGACTACTCAACCAGGTAGACATTCTTCCGATTTCCGTATTATATATACATATATATACATTTTATCCAACAAAATGGAGTATATTACTATAAAATTAAGTGGAGGTCCGTGGGGTCACTTGACCCCGTATGATCCTATGTGGGTCTGCCCCTGCTTGTAGAGATCTATTTATTTATCAAACTACTAAAATCTTTTGAAAACTCACTTGAAAAATGGTTTCTAAACTACCTTCGATGTTTAGTCTATTAATGCTGACCTTGTTTGACAACATCCTCTTTAAATGATGTGTTTCGAATAATAACTTTTTACTAACAGTGTAAATTAATTTTTTAAAATATCAAAGTTTTGTAGTGTCATTAACTAACTTTCAAAATGTTATAATAGACATAACAACTAGCTAGCTAGGATGATATTCATAACCCTTGAGTTATTTTTTATTATTATAAATGCAAGTACTTCCTCCATTCCTTTAACTTTGGACAAAATAAGGAAAGTATTATTTTGGTCGTCTTTCCAATTTTGCCCCTGATGTGATGGGTAAAAGTAAGATGTGATAATTTGGTTAACAGTGAAAAAGTATGATGTGATAGGTAATGTATGAAAGAGTAAGTATAAAAATAGTTTTTTAATAGAAAGTGGAAGTGTTTTAAGGAATAAAAAATGAAAGGAAAAATGTTTTATGGAACGAAGGGAGTATTATTTGATCGCAATGGATAAGATTTGGTCGTAGGACCCACATACCTCACTAGAATTCCATCACATATTTATTTACTCTAAGATCAATCTATGTAAAGTCAAAATGTGTCTTTAATTTGTGAACCAACAAAGTATTTTCATTTGAAAGTTTTTTTCTACTCTCTACGTCTTAAAAAAAAATTTCCATTTCTCTCTACAAGGTTAGTAATTTTATTTTTAATTCAATTTATTTGATTATACGTGTAAAATTCAAAAATGGAATGTGTATATTTAAAAAGTACACCAATAGTTCTACAAAATTAGAAGTGACATAACGCTATTATTTTATCAAATAACTAAACAAATATTCAAAGAAAATGAACAAAAATTGATTCAGCAAATAATGAACAAGAAGATTGAAAAAAGAGGGAGTACATATTAATGTGCTTTGGGCTCTCCAAGTTATTAGAATATAATCTTTTCCAAGTAGATAGTACTTTAAATAGGTATATTATTGATGTTGATTTTTTTAGAATTAATGTCAACCAACAAGTTTGCATCTAAAGTTCCTCTCCATGACATGCTTTCAATTATTAATGCATAAACACTTGCTAGAATTGCTTATCTACCAACTCCATCCCGTAGTCTTTGTCTAGTTTGGACTTTTTTTAATTAATTATTTTCAACATTTAACTTTTAATTAAATAAAATATATATTGTATATTAAATAGATAAAAAAAATATTTTGAAACCATTTTACATAATAAATCTAATAAAACAATTTGATGTCAAAATTTACCAATTTTGACCAAACAAATCAAAAGTGAACGAATACTCAGAGACAAAAGGATACATAACAAATTAAAGGATCTATTTAAACACATGCAAGTATACAACTCGATCTATCAATATACTTCATCTGTCCTAGAAAACCTTTCTTTTTTTTCATTCGTCCCAAAAGCACTTCTTATTTCTATTGAAAAGACATTTTTACTCTTACTTTTTCATTTTCTACATATCACATCATACTTTTTTATTGATAATCTATTTATCACATCTTACTTTTACCCATCATATCAAAAGACTTTTTTAGAAATTTAATACTCCCTTCGTTCCACAAAACCCTTCCGTCTTTGACTTTGGGGAAAAAAATAAGGAAAGTGTAATTTTAGTTGATTTTTCAATTTTGCCCCTGATGTGATGAGAAAAAGTAAGATGTGATAGTTTGGTTATTAGTGAAAAAAGTATGATGTGATAGGTAGGGTATAAAAAAGTAGGTGTAAAAGTGGTTTTTTGATAGAAAGTGGGAGTGTTTTGTGAAAAGCAAAAAAACAAAAGAGGAAGAGTTTTGTGGAACGGAAGGAGTACTAATATACACTTCCCTTAAATCTCTTAAAAATCAATAACTCCCATGTTATTAGAGCCGGAGGAAGTATAATTTATTGATGTTTTAAACCATAACTAAAATCACTCAAATCCCCACCCCCTTCCCCCCATCCCGAGAAAAAAACCAACAGTTAAGATTATAGCCCGGTTTGGTAGGACTTAATTCTTAGTGATTTAAGTTAAGTGACTATAAATTCAAGATTTTAGAGTTCATATTTAAAACCCCTAGATGATACTACTTCCGTCCCAAAAAGTCTTTCTTGTTTCATTTTTTGCGTATCCCATAAAACACTTATATTAACATCTAAAATGCCTAAAATTTACAATATTTCTTCTTTATTGTGGGTAGAAGTTATTTTGAAAGTTTTTTTGGCATTCAAGGCGGCATAGAAGTGTTTTTTGGGATGCGCAAAAAATGAAACAGAAAAAACTATTTGGGACGGAGAGAGTAGGTCTTACGTGAGCCTTCTACTTTTATTTATATATAAATTTTACACACTTAAGAGTTCAATCTTAAGGCTTCAGTATCTATATTAAATACTTCCTCCCATTTTTCAAAACACTCTCTTTTTATCCTTTTCTAAAGCACTCAAATTTCTATTAAAAAACTATTTTTGCATATACTCTCTCCGTCCACAAATAAAGTTCTCGTTCACTATTCACAGGGTCAAACTTTATTCACTTTGTTGGCCTATTTTTGTGTCTTATCTGATAAAATAATATAGTCATGTCACCTCTAGTTTTGTAGATCTTTTCATGTAGTTTTTAAATATGTAATTTTTATTTTTTAATTCCATACCATATTTCATATAAAATAATTTGAAAATAATTTCAGTCAAACATTGTAACGCGCAATGAGAACTTTAATTGTGGACGGAGGGAGTATTTTTTTACTCTACCTATCACCATCATATAAAGACAAATTTGAAAAGTTAACTATAAAAGTGAACTATAATTATTCACTCTTTATTTTACACATCAGTCAAACTATGAACTTTTTTTAGGAACAGATGAAGTACTATACACTCTAGAATTAAGATTTGCAGAGTATCGATGTAAATTCAACAAGACATAGTGCCTGTTTGGGAATAGCGTTAGAGATTAGCATTAGCGTTTTGGATAAAATTTTAACGGTTCAGATTATTTTGAAAACGCTAACGCTAAACGCTGGCCGTAGATAGCTTTTTAAAAACGCTAACGTCAATCTCTAATGCTATTCCCAAACAGGCCCATAAGCTTGTTTATCTAACATAAACAAACCTCTTTTATATCTGAAGAGAACATTTATTTATATCAAGAAATCCTTATTTTTATAGACATACAAGTTTTTTTTTGTTTTCATAATCATAGTTTATCTATGTGACATTTGTGTGTCAAAAATCATATTGTGTGGACAAGTTTTATTTGATATATTTAAAAAACATTAATAAAAAGTTCAAAAACATTTTTTCTATAGTTTTGAATTAATAGCGGACTATCTTTCTTTTTTAATTCAAAAACTTTTTTTTTTGAAAAATAAATAATGATAGCGCACGATCTATCAAAGCCGTGAAAAGTAAATGTGGCTGTAGATTTTTTTTAATAAATAAAGTAAACAAAATAATCCAATCATTATTAAATTCCTTTTACTAAAAATTATTATAACGGCGCCTTTTACACTTCCTTGTCCGACCAAACGCTACCCCGGGGCGCTGTTTCAGTATCGGGTCGAAATGTAAGGGCATTATCGTCTTTTCCCACTCCCGCGCGGCTAGGGTTTTCGTACGCCCGCTTATAAACCCCTCACAGAAAATCAAAATAAACAAAAAAAAAGAAAAGAGAAAGAAAACTCTATCTATCATCTCTCAGGATCGTCACTCTACTTGACTGGCGTCGGTTCTTTTCTCCGCCGATTTCATCAAAATCACTTCAAATCCCCAGCTTCTTCAGCTCAACGGGTCTCCGTTTTCTTGAGCTCCTTTTGCTGTTCCAGTCCCTGGGTCTCTCTGGTTTCTTTCCCAAGATTTCACTCCATTTGCACTCTGTCAGGCCGTGATCTGGTGATCTGTGCTGTTTATGGGAGATCGGTGTGATTTCTTGAGGTTTTCGAAGTTACCCAGTTTGTGATTCGGGGTATTCTGGTGGAAAGGCAGGAATTTGGTCGGTTTTTCGCTTCAGATCTTCTGGTTTGTGGCTGGGAATGGTGGATCTGAGCGATATGGTTAGTGATCGTCTTCTCAAACTGTTTTTTTCTTCTTGTCTGTAGCTTATCTGATGATGATTGGTTTTCTCAGGGATCCGAATCTGAGGAAATGATGAGCGAGAGTCCTGCCCAAGAAAGGGTATTTTCGTCCGAGATCAAAACTTGTGCTGATTGCGGCACAACTAAGACGCCTCTCTGGAGAGGCGGCCCTGCTGGCCCCAAGGTTTGATTTTTAATGCCATTAATGATCCAATCTTTCCAAAAACAACCCCATTTCTTCTGATCTGTGGAGATCTAATCACTGTTTGCTGATAAAAATGCAGTCTTTGTGCAATGCTTGCGGGATAAGGAGCAGGAAGAGGAGAAGGGCACTATTGGGACTTAACAAAGAGGAAAAGAAGACGAAGAAGCCCACTGGCGGATGCAAGAGCGGCTGCGGAGGGAGCAGTTCAAGCGACAGCGGAAGCAGCAGCAGCATGGGCGGGGGCAATACGGGGATTTCACCCCCCTCAGCTCCATTGAAGAAGAGGTTCTTAGAAGTTGGGTTGCAGAAGCCAAGATCTCAGCAGCCAAGAAGGAAGCAGCAGCTAGGAGAAGTGGAAAAAGCTGCCTTTCTGTTAATGGCTTTGTCTTGTGGCTCTGTGTTTGCTTAAGATGAAGAAGAAGAAGAAGAAGATAAGGAGATAGAAAGAAATGAATGGTCTCTCTCTGTTTTGGTCTCTTTTTGTTTGGGATTAATTAATTAGTTTTTTTTAGTTAAGTTAGAGATCATCTCCTAAGAAGGAATGAAGAATGAAAGTTGTTAGGGGTAGGGAGTGATGGAAGGGCAAAATTGTAACATCACAAAGATTGGAAGCTGTCTTTGAAATGTAGGGCTGAGATTTCATCAAGTAGTTTCCCAATGTTTTTTTTTTATTTTCTTTTCCGTTGGAAAATTTGCTGACTTTTTGTCTCCATTTTGATTCATTTCACTGCTCTCGTGAACTAGGGTCCCAACTTTTTTCTTTTTTTAGCTCTCTTCTTTTTGGTTTTGCAATTTGTTTTTTTTGATAGTACCTACACTCTATATAATTGAGGAAATAATGGGGTGGTCAATTGAAAAAAATAACAACTTTTTCTCTTTCAAGCCTTTTTTTTTTTAACTCCATACATTCACTCACATTATTGTAACTTTTCATTCTTTAATCATTTACCTTAATTATTTGTGGTAATAGATAGTCTATGTCACTTTTCTATATACTGTTTGTGATATACGGAGTAATTATGAAATACTCTACATTTGAATATTCTATGAAGTATTTACTCTTTTTTAAATTTTATTATTTATCAGATCAAATTTTATTTTATTACTACATCTGTCCCATTTTATATAACGTCTGTTTCGGTTTATGATGTTTGATTGAAATTATTTTTAAACCATTTTATATTACAAATGGTATAAAATTAAAAAATAAAAATTACATATAAAAAAATTACATCAAAAGATCTACAAAATTAGTAGTGATAATAATATTTTATTTTATCAAATTGCTAACGAAAATAGAGAAAAAAAGTGAATGGAGTTTGACCATGTGAATAGTAAATAGACATTATAATTTCAGACGGAGGGAGTACTTTTTGTTCTTGATTTTCGTTAGTTATTTGATAAAATAATTCGTAATATAGTTTTATCACTATTAGTTTTATAGATTTTTTTATGTATTTTTCAAATATGTAATTTTTAGTTTTTGATTCTATACTATTTTATATATAAAATGATTTGAAAAATAACTTCAGTCAAATATTGTATATCAAAATAGACGATTTAAATTGGGAGGAAGATTATATTATGAACTACTCCAGTAATATTTTAAATTTAAAATTAATATGTAGATAAATTTAATTATATATAGCTGTAGTTAAAATTAAAATTGTTAGCAAGAATTTATTTACCGAGAAAGGAGGTATCTTAAAATTTGTACTCCCTCTGTCCCTAAATATTTGCCACACTTGTATTCCCGAGCCAAAATATTAAGTTTTTTTTAAATTCATTTTATTTACATATTGGTATAGAAATAAAAAATAAAATTTACATATCAAAAAACTACATGAAAAGTTATTCAAAATAAGAGGTGTCAAGAATATTTTATTTTATCAAATAACCAATGAAAATGTGAAAATAAGCAAAAGTTCACGTGACTCCTTAAAAAGTAAACGTTGCAAATAATTTGGGACGGAGCAAGTATAATAGATTTTGGTAATGATGACCTGAGATCGGCCTTGGATTTTTTTGATCATTTATGCGTTAGTGACAAATGGAGAACTTATTCAAGTAAAAAATCATTGTCATATTGTAATGTAATTACCACACTATCACTGTCACACTGACACTCGTCACTGCACATGCCAGGGATTGCCAGTCATCGAAGTGCAACCGCGGATCACTGACGATTAACTGATTACATTGATATATTACACTGTCATTATTTTTCCATCACACCACCGATGCATATTATATTCTTATATCATGCTGTCATTATACTCATAGTTTGGTCTTTAAAGACTTAGTATTCTTGTTTTAATATTTTTACACTTTTTTACTCCTATCCAGAAAGATTTTTTTCAAACACATACTCGTATTTTTGTAACGCCCCAACCTGCATACCCTGTTCAACGATTTAGCGAATCGAGTTATTACTAATTTGGTATTTAAATGCACAATATTTTAAAAATATTTAAAATAAGACATTCATTTATATTAATTTAAATCAAATCATATATAGTTTAATCGGAGTAAAATAAATAAACGTTGGAGAAGCCTTTAAACAAACATCATCAAAAACATTCTTGGAGTTTAGACGATAAAGTCAATGGAACATTTAATTAAATTTCAAATAGCTTCGGACCATCCACCAATATCACGCATCGCTGTCTTCCAAGTTGTTCGTCCAATAATTGATCCATGCCTGCACGTAGTATTGAGCGTGGAAATATCTAACGCCAGAACAAATTCATAGACTTGCATACATCAATATATAATCACACAATAGTTGACCAGCAAATATCATTTTTGAATATCATGATCAACTATTTGTTTATTTCAACCACATGAGACTAGAGCTATGGACATTTCAGACACAGCTTGGAGCCACTCTCGAAACCACAAAGAACTTCCCTGATACAGGTTGGAGCCACTCTCGAAATCACATGAGACTTGTGTTGTTCGTCTAATCGACACTGGGATACGTCATTAGACATATTGTTAATGTGAAATTATATTTTTAGCTGTCAAATTAACACAAACATGACAGAAGGTAAAAAAGAGACCGTTTGTAGAAATATACCCACAAAAAGAAAGACCACGAAAGTAATATTTGGTAATTTAAGACTAAATATAGAAAACCCCTTATTCTCGAGGACTTATTATGAAATTTACTCTTTATTATATAAGATATTTTCAAAATATTATTTTATCTAATTAATATATAATATATATTGTATTTAATTATAGGTCAAAAGTTGAAAATAGTTGACTGAAAAATAAAAATAGGACAAATAATCAGGAACATGCGTAATATAACTATTCAATATTATAAGATTTGTTATATGAATTGTTCTAAGATTATCTCGTCATTATATTAATTTCTCAAAAAACACACTTTTTTACAAATAAAAAAACAACATATTAATTTATGCAACAACTTTTCAAAAAAGAAAAACTTGAATACTTATAAATAAATAAACGAAAGAATTCTTCTTTGGGGTGGGGGAGGGTGCGCGTTTGATTTTTTTTAAATACTATTGACTCTAATATAATGTATGGGATACTATTTAAGTATTTATTCATACTTTTTGAATCAAATGACTTTGTTTTATAATATTACATTGTGACATTTAATACCTAATGGTAGGGGTGTACAAAAACAGGTCTAAACTGGATTTTGGACCTGGACCGGACCGGAATAGACCGGTCTGGACCGGTCCGAATTATTCAGCTCCGGTCCCCGGGTTTTACAAATTAGAGATTCCGGGTTTTTGGTGGGATCTGGGTTTGACCCAGAATTTTTCGATCCAGACCGGAATACATTATATGAAGAAATATTTGTATCCATTGTTAATTTCAAGCCCAAAAGCATTAGATCCAGTCCATATGGTTTTAGATTCACGAATTTCATTTTTCTAACATTTAGTTTTTAACTATTTTATTTTAGTTTATTATTTTTTACGGTAGTTTATTAATTTGAATAAGTTAGAAATTAAGTTTTGATGAATTTTTTACTACTACTTACAAGTACTATTTTTATTAAATATTTTGAAGAATAACAGCTTCTTATTTCTATTTTTTTCCAGATTTATTTAATAATTTAATTCATTTATAAGATTGCAGAAAAGATATAAAATTCAAGTCTAAATTAGGGTAAAACCGGATTGGACCGGAAAAAACAGGTCCAGACCAGTCTGGACCGGAAATAAACAGGTCCGGTCTTCGATCCTAGAAAAACTGCAATTCCTAGCAAAAAATACCGATTAATATAAAGTTGGTAAGTGAATCAGGCAAACAAATCCTTACTACTGCCACATGAATTGTCTCATAAAATCGGACAAATAGAATGAAGAAAAAGGCATAATATTGATTTTCTTTGTTCTTTAAATACAGGGAATGTTTTTTATAAAGTAACCTTTTTTTAATTTAAGAAACATACTTTGCTATACTTACCTTCCTCCATCATTTAATTATTTCATGAAAAAAGAGGTAAGTGACTTCACCCTTGTGATTAATGAGACATGTGAGTGGCTAAATGATATATTGAAGGGTCATGCTAGGATGCCACCACACGGGTGCTACCATGGGTTCACTCATGCTTCACACAGACAAATACAGACGATAATTATGATGCTCTTTTCGTAAAATTGATGGTTCCTACCTCCTAACCCCCTTCCACTAAACCTCTCACCCCATTAATTTCACCCGCCCCACCCCAGTCCCCCCTGCACCCCCGAATCGCAGGTACCCAAAACAAATAATAATACAGAGTAATAATAATAATAATAATAATAATAATAATAATAATAATAATAATAATATCGTGTATATTATTAACTGGATAGACCTTTAATTTAAGCAAGCTTTTAGTTTGTTTTGTGCATGACTATGTAGTGTCTACTACATGTGTGATTGGTTTTGTTTATGTTTATTAGAATGTATTAGGGTTTTGTTATCAGTCTTGTTAGTATTGGGCCTGTAGTTAGGCCGTGGTCTTTTGGCTATTATAAATAATAAGTTTGTGTTTAATGAAATCATCAAGTTCAGTTATAATAATATTTTTCTACAATATTCTTGATTTCTGTTACTTTGAATTCTGTTAATTATTGTGCTCATGTATTTTATGTTGGAATCAAATCTCTTAAAAACAATATTCTTACTTTTAAAGTAGAGATAATCTTTCCATAGGCACAATTGCCACACCCTACTATGAGCCTGTTCTTTAGGATTTAAACTCTTAACATCCATATTTTTCAGTTCCTTCGAGTGTCTTCCAGTTTTCTCCAATTCCTTCCAGATCTTCAAGTTTCTTCCAACTATTCTCATTTTCTTCAAACACTTTCTATTCCCCAACCAATTACTCTAACAATGATATATTTTTAATGTGATTATTATTATTATTATTACAACTGTTATGTTCATAACTATAGTTTATAAATTATTTTTTTATCTTACAATTTTTACGATTCACACTCACTATTTTCTCTCAACTTTTTGATATGAATAAGACAATTTTCTTGCGTGTATATTAACCTACATGATAAAAAAGAAAATATCAATATTTTAAATTACATTAAAAATTATGGATAAAATAGTTACATAGAATTTTTATTAATCTAACTTTATATAAGACCCCCACATTTCCCTTTATTACTTAATTTTTTTTTCATTTTCTAATTTTTTAAAAAAAATTTGAAAGTCAAAATAATTTAGAGAAAAAGACTAAAATAAGAGTAAAACATAAAAAATATTAGAAAAAAGTTATATGTCTTTTTCCCAAAAATAGGAGTTACAATGAAAATAAAATGTCAATCATGAAAGAAAAAATATGTTTGATTACATTATGTGAAATGTCTGATATTAAAAACAAAATCTTGTACTCCCTCCGTCCCACAAAACCTTTTTGGTTTTGACTTTTAAAGGATTTAAAGAGAGTGTATTTTTGCGTTGAGTTTCCAAAAATGTCCTTGGATGTAATGTGTAGATTAATAGTGAAAAAGTGTGATGTGATAGATATGTTAAGAGTTAGTATGGATAAAAGTGACTTTTTAATATAAATGAGAAATTTTTTTTGAAACGAATGAAAAAAGAAAAGAGAAAGGGTTTGTGGGACGGATGGAGTAATATATAAAGTATAATTACAAATATATTATTTATAATAAATACTGTAAAAATTTATTGAGCTGCAACGTAACCACAATAACTTTTAAAATATAACATTTTGATATTTATGCTAACTTTATATTATAAATATTATTTTTGCAAAAGTAGTTTTTTTGAGTATGAAAAATAACAATATTTTTTTTATCTTAAAGACATTCATTAAGATAGCATTATGATGAGAACAACAACAACAAATATAATAGTAATAATAATAATAATAATAATAATAATAATAATAATTTATAAAAAAGAATTAGAATGAGATTAATATAAAAATAAACTAAAATAATTTTTTAAAAAGGTTTTTTAGGTTTTTCAATTTTTTAAAAGTTTTTTCAGTTCTTTCTAGTTTCTTCCAGTTTTTTCTAGTTTCTTCCATTTCTTCTAATTTATTCCAACGTTCAGCTGTTTTAAAGAACAGGCTCATGTGAGAAGTGAAAAATGCTCACATTTTATTTTATCAACAAAAAAAACTTTGTGAAAATGTCAGTTGGTATGATACCAAAAAAAAGAACTTTTCTAAAATGGTCTAGCAAGCATCACCAAAAACATTTTTCTAATTGGTCAAACATGGTCTTCGTTTCTCTTCTAAAATAATATAAATGAACATTATATTGTTATATACATACATACACACACACACACACATATATCTCAAAAAATTTTAGAAAATCTAAATGTCCATTGCAGTTTTATGAAAAATGAAAAAGAAATTAAAGAAAGGGGCGCACCTTAAAACTATGACGTTGAAAGGTGCTAGCTTGATTTTATATACTCCTATTTTGGTACACCGCTAGATTATATTTGTACTACTTTTAAGTACTATCACTATTATACGGAGTATTTTTTTATCACGATACTTCTTTTGACCTTGAAACCTCGGGTCATATTATGACCCTGGGCACCTATAGTGCTCCGTACGTAAAATTGATGGTTTCTACTCTCCCTAACCTAATTAAACCATAGCCCATGTCCCTTTAATATGACCTGATATTTTAAGATCAAAAGATCCTTGACGTTTTTTTATAAATCATGATATATGTGTCTTTTTTCATAATATATAATAATGTCAACATAAAATACGTACGTAAAACACTTTTGAAGCCCAATACACAATGACATATCGTCAGAATTCAATGTAAAAATATTATTTTTGAATAATAATTAATAACATGTGTTCATTCTATTTTGTACATAAGAGCTATATTTTGCTTCTTTATGGGTAATAAATTAATTAAATGAATTTCAAAATTTAGATAGATTTGTTGGTGTTCAATTTATATACATTAACAAAGTTGGTAAGAGATTAACTTCTTTTAATGATCAAGTTATTATTTATTAGAAATGTATAGTTCAAACAATTACTCCGTACTTAAGTAGTTGCATGTAGTTTGGGTTACTAGTATTCTCAAACAATTACTGAATATAATTAATTTATTTTTATTAGGGTTATCATACTTATAATTATTAGTTATTAATTAGTTAATAATTAATATAATAATTAGACCATGAGGTGTGGGTGGGATGATCCCATCATCTCTTTGTCTGCCAATTCAGCGTCACGTTAGCTTTTTTTCTTTCTCATTCATTCCATCTTCTTTCTTTTTCTTTTTATATTCTTTTTACATTTATGTTAATTAAAGTTAATTAAAATTGAAATATAAAATAAATTTCTCATAAATATTAAATTTAAAATTACAATGACTAAAGTACAAAGTACAACTCCTCAATAAAAAAAATAAATATCACTGCCCAAGTTATCGATTGCACTCCTAAAAGCCACTACGGGCAGCGGGAGTGTGGTCAGCACAACTCCATTCAAACTGCTCTTTTGTCACTCTATGAATTGAAATTGGATTGATAATGTGAAAAATAATAGAAAAATAAAAAATTTATTTTTTATAGAAAAATAATAGAAATATAAAAAATAATAGAGAGTTTGTGAATATTTGGAAGAGGTGTGGTGTTTAAATAATAGAAAAATAAATTATTACGGAGTATAAAATTAAATAGCTTTTAGGGTCTAGTTTACAATTCCTAACCAGTTAGGATAAACTTAAGCCCAATTGCCTTATTCGGCAATCATATCTTAGGCCCAGTAAGTTCAATTCTTAATCTGTTTGCGTGGTCGGGTTCAGAACAGTGAGCCCTACAACGCAGGTCAACTCTCATATTAAATACACAAATTAAAAAATAATATTTGTTTTGACCAACTCAGTAATTAATTAATTAAATAAATTAATTAAAAATACTAAGTCGGGTTTCAGAGCGTTACGATTCTTTTTTTTTTTTGCAACTATAAATGAAAAGATAAATTGAATAATGAGTATATAAAAGTAGAACATGATCTGGGCTTCCAGATGTAAAATTTTAATTTAACAAAATTTAAATGGTAGCTATAGCAATTTAAACTAGGGTTTCAATAGATTTTTTGGAAAAAGTAAATATGAATAGATCCTATATTGTACAGAGTAATGGAATAAGTAATGCTCAAAAAAAGAAAGTAAAGATACCTCTTTTTGGCTAAATTGCACTGTTAGTCCTTCAAGTTAATGCACTATTAATGGTTATTTTTACAACTCTAAAAGTTATACGGATAATCATTCAGAGCACTGGTAATACCCCTCACGCCCACCGGCGTTACGGGGCGTTTAACGCCCCGGGGGCGTGAAACACCGCCCCCCGCCGGCGTGAAACGGGCGTGAGGGCGCCTGCGTCATTCGTTTGACGCGGCGTGACTCTTGCGCGGCTCCCTCCTAACAGCTAAAAAAGCCGTTGCAGCCCACATTTCAAAAAAAAAAATTTCCTATAAATTCAACCCCCCAACCAATCTCTCACACCTTCTCTTCAATCTCTTCCTCTTTCTTATTTTTAAATTTCAAAATTCAAACCCCCCCTCCCAATTTTCAACATGAATCCTTCCGGCTCCGGCTTCTTTCCCGACGATCTCCCGCCCGTCGACGCCGCGATGTGGTATTACCAAGAGTTGGGCGATCGACCGCCGATGTACGACACGCAACAGTCGGGGTACGTCGACCGAGATTCGGTTCCGGAGACTCAACCGGAACCGTCCGGATCGAAAAAAAGTACACGCC